ATGGAAAGGAGCCTGAGCTACTGGAACCTATTCCCTATGAATTCATTGCATGATGGGTGTTAAAAATAAACTAATCTGGGGGCCAGCAGTTAGCGTAATGGCTGTGTTGCTGGACTCCCACGTAGTTCGTGACCGGGACCCGGTGGCTTGAAACTCACACCGGGCGCGTGTGCGTGCGTGCCAAGGATTCCGAGAGGAGAATGGAGGAGAAGGGATTGTGGTGTGGCCATCTCCCCGGGGGATGATTTCTTGCTTTCTGTCTCTCTGTCTCTCTCTGTCTGTCTGGCAAGCGCACGCGCCCTATAGCAAAAACCTCTAATAAACAAACAAACAAACTAATCTGTGGTCTATAAAAAAAAAAGAAAAGAAAAGAAAAGAATAGTTTGGGGGTTAACACCGCCTTGGTGGAGATCTGGCTCTGCTTCAGCCCTGGGGGTAAGACCCTGGGTCACCTGAGCAGCAGGGGTGGTGGCCTACCCTCAGGGAGGGCCTGCCCTTTCTTCTCCTGCCTACAAACATTCTCTTTTTACCCATCCTCCCCTACGTTTGGGGGTGGGGTCCCTGAGGTCTTAGGCCCCTCCTCAGTTGCCCTACCTCTACCCTCAGGGTCCTGTGGCCTCAGGACCCCTAGGGCCCCCTACCGTTCATGACAGGCTCTGCACAGGGGGACACTTTATAATCTAAGCCAAGGAGTACACTGTCCCTTCCCCACTGCCCTCTGGGGGCAGCCCCCCACAGCCTCCCCCTACACATTCCCAGCCCCTGTCCCGGGAGGCTCCCAGGACAGGAAGTCTGCTCCCCACCTTAGCACCCATGTGCTTGACCTCTGGGCAGGCCTGTCCGTGGGCCTTCCTCCCCACCACTGGAGTTCCTGGAACCCTTCCTCTTCATTCCCTTCCTCTTCCTCTACCTCTTCTTCTCTTGTTTTCTTCCCCTTTCTTTGCCTTTCCCCACCCCCTCTCCCTCCCTCTCCTGGGATCCTGACTGTTCCAGGTGGCCTGGCCTCATGGACTTTCTCTTCTGTCCTGTCCTTGCAGCTCCCGCCTCAGGCCACCATGAGGAGCCCTTCAGCGTAGCCACCGCCTCTGGGAGGACTTGGGCATCCTTGGCAGCCCAGCTGGTGAGTCAGGAGGTGGGCTGGTGGGAGCCAGGTGGGGTGTGAGGAGGCTCCCCCAGGGCTGAGACCCAGAGGCCCCATTTTCCATGTGGAGAGCTGAGGCCGAGAGGCAGAGGGGGAAGTACTGCAAGCTTGCAGCTGGGAACTGGGAAGGGGTGGTGGAGTGCAGGGTGGTGGAGTGCAGTGCTGTGCAGGCTGGTGGAGTGTGGGTGTGTCTGCTTATCTGATTTTTCTCCTGGCTGCTGGCTTCCCAAGTTCTACTTGTGATTATCACATTCTCTTTTACATTCTATTTATTCTTTGGAAAATTTAAAAGATACAGAAGGATATGGTCTCTCCTGTCTTCTCAGCTGCCAGTTCTCCTTCCCAAAGACAGTTTCTTGTATATCTGTTCAGAATATCCTGTGCATATATTTATGTGTATGTGTATATGACATATATTTTTTCGTTTTTTAAAAACCGAGATGTTTATATAATACTATTCTGCCCCTGCTGTTCCTCTTGACAGTAACTGTTTACTATCACTTTAGATGAACTTTAGAATCTGCTTGTCCAAACCAATTCCGGTTGATAATTTCAGAGGGGATCGGATCAGAGTTCTTGCTAAACCCTGGGAAATCCGACTCTTTATAAGGTTGAAAGCCATCAGACCCAAGAGTGTCGAATGCATTTTTGTGTACATCTCCCTTTGGGTCTCTCTCTCTCTTTTTTTTTTTTCCTGGTCTGACCCGCTGGGTCTCTTAAGTAGCTTTATTATTATTATTGCTTCACTTCATGTCGTTGAAAATGTAGGTGCTAGAGGTGGAATGCTATTTCTCCCTCCCCTCAGAGGTGGATCTCCAGGGAGGTGGATGGGCTTTGAGGATCAGGGGGCCCTCGGTGGAAAGTAGTATTTCAGAATATTTTACATTGCTGTTTCTCTTCGTGTGGGAGGGTAAGTCCTTTTTCCATATGTTTAAAAGCCATTTGTGTTTTCCTTCCTGTGAATTTCTCTGTTCATATCAGGGGATCCATAGACCCATTGTATGCACGTGGTCATGTGTTTCTGTGAATTATACAAAAGTAAGATATTCTTGCCGTTTTTTTTTTTTTAATTTCTCGTATTCTTTTTCTTAAAGAAGGCGTTCCAGTTGTGTGACCTTCAGGTGCCATAAACTCAGCCCTCACTTTTCATCCTCAGAGGAAGCTGGTCACCTCGTGTCTTTTCAGGGATCCTGGATACATGTGCCAATATTCGCGTACTGATCCATGCTCTCCCTTTGTTTTTCTCAGGAAAGGCGGGATGTTACATGTACTATTCCACACTTTGCTTTGTCCCTTTGACACGATATCTGGGAGGTTATTAGAAGCCAGTATATAAGGAGTTTCCTCATTTTTCTAATAGCTGTTCAGTATTGTATTGCATGACTACCCCATACTTTAGTTAACTGTCGTCTGACTGATGGGCGTTTTGGTTATTTCCAATCCTCTATTGTTCACAGCTGATACCCCACAGACGTCATTTCACACGTGCACCCGGGGGTGGCCGGGGTGAAGGGCTGCAGCACTGGAGCTTTCACCATTATTTATTTATTCCCTAGTTCTTGTGGCCTTGCCCTCCCACAGGTACCCCCTGCCACTCATGGCTAGGGAGGCCCAGGCCTCAGCCCATTACCAAAGCCTGTATTTTCAGGAGCTGTCTTGATCTCGCTCTTCCATCATGTCTGATTGATGGAAAGTGGTATTTCAGTATATTTTACATTGCTGTTTCTCTTCGTGTGGGAGGTTAAGTTCCTTTCCATATGTTTAAAAGTCATTTGTGTTTTCCTTCCTGTGAATTTCTCTCCTCATATTCTTTGCCCATTTTTCTGTTAGGTAATCGATCTGTTCTTATTTCTAGGTGTTTTTCATTTTGTAGGAAGTGAGCCATTTGGGATATGAGTGGCACATACCGCAGGAGTTATTTTATTTTATTTTATTTTTTGTGAACTTTGCTTACAATTCTTCTTGCCATTCAGGAATGCTTGATTTGTATATAGCTGGATATTTCAGTCATCTCTGGATACCTTCTAGGTTTGTATCATTTCCAAAAGGCTTTTGCTTTTCTGAGATGATTTTTAAAAACACTTTAATGGTTTACTCTTTTATATTGAAATCCTTGACCCATCTATAATTTACTCTGTTGTAAGGTGTGAGGTTGGGATCCATCTCAGTTTTCTTTTAGATTGCTACGTAGCTATCCCAACACCCTAGTCATTCATCATTCCCCTACTAGTTTAAGATGCTACTCTTATTGTTTACTAAATTCTTACATGTATTTGGATCTATTTCTGATTTTTTTTTTTGGGGGGGATGTTTTTGCTATAGGGCACGTGCGCTCGCCAGAAAGACAGAGAGAGGCAGAGAGACAGCGAGAAATCATCACCCTGTGCCGCAATCCCTTCTCCTCCATCCTCCTCTTGGGATCTTGGGCACGCATGCACACACATCCGGTATTTCTGATTTTTCTGTCTTGTTCAGTTGATCTCTCTCTTCATGTGCTAGTACCAAATACAGCTTTTCCCCCCTTCTTTTTTATTTTTTTAATGACAGAAGGTATATACATTTGCCAGAGAGATAAAGGGAGACCGCACCCCCCACGCATAGTGGTACATGGTCATGCCACATCCCTTCTTCATCGTTTTGAGATTTCGCATGTGTAAGCACGTGTACCTAGTGTGGTCAAGCCAAACTGGGATTTGAAACATGGTTGGCCATGTGAGATCCAGCTCTCCCAACAGCTGGGCTGTAGGGTAGTCTACCAAATACTGTTTTAATTTTTGTGGCTTTATAATATATTTTAGTATGTGATGAAACTGATTCCTCGCCATCCTCCCTTCTCTCTGCCCCCACTTCCAGGATTTCCTTGGCTCTTCCTGTTTATTTAATTTTCAACATGAATTCTTAAGTTAGCTTGCCTAACTTCAAACAAAATTTCTTTGTGTATATATTTAATAAGATAGTGTCTATTTAAAAATTATCTTGGCATTGATATCTGTATGATGTCTTCTATCCAGAACTAACTATGCCCCTGCCCATTCATGTAGGTCTTCTTTTTGTCCCTCAGGAACACTCCAAAAAACATTTAAAAAAAAAAAAAAAACTGCCTGAGGGTACATTTGTTCATTAGCAAAAGGAACCAGAGAGAGAGAGAGAGAGAGAGCGAGCGAGCGAGCATCCCCTAATGGTCATGCCTCAATTCCTTTTCCTCCATTTTTCCATTCTTTTTGGATTTTGAGTACAGACATGTATATACCCGGTTTGTTTTTTAAGCTTCCGAGGCTGAGATTTGAACCATGTGGTTGGCCATGTGGGATCTGATTCCCTTAACTGCTAGGCTATGGGGCCAGCCCACTCCAGAATTTTTTTTTTTTGTATAGATTTTGTTTATTTCTTACTAAATTTACCCTTGGTTTTTTTTTTTTTTTATGTTATTGTAAATAGAGGTTTCTACCTGGTTATTGCTTGTAAGTATTGATTTCTGTTACACTAATGTTGAATTAATACAATCGCCTTACTAAATTATTTCATTGTTTACGGTAGTTTCTCATCTGGGCTGCTTAGGTTTTCCAACTCAAGACTCAGATATTTATTTTGAAACTAAATTTATTTTTTTAACTTTATTAATATTGTTTAAAATTTGCTATAGGGCACATGCACTCATCAGAGAGAGACAGAGAGAGTGAAAGTGAGAAAGCAAGCTGCCAGGTCCGGGACTTGAACTGTGGTCAGCCATGTGGGAGTCCAGCACCTTAACCACCACACCACCTACGGGCTCCCTGTGTTTAAGCTTATTTCTTCCTAAGTGAAAGAAGGAAAGGGAGGAAATACGGAGGAAGAGAGGGGGCAGTCATGTAAGGGCCCTCATGCCGTGATCTACTCATAGCCTCAGCCAGCCCGAGTCACAGATGCAAAGTGTACACCCAGTGTGTACACCCAGTGTGCACAGAGAGGCTCAGGGCACTGACTGGGACCTTCCCATGCGGGTCCAGAATTGCAGGGCACCACCATCAAGGCCTCATGTTATTAGCAACTAATGGATGGTTTCTCTCTTCCTTCCCAGTTTTGTGACTCCTATTTATTTTTGTTTCTAGAACATTCAGAACAGTGTTCCCCTCAATCCCACAGACTCACCAAGCTTGGGACCTAGCCTTGACTAGGGACTGGAGCCTCAGAGGAATTGGGCCCTGGCCTGGGTCTGACAAAGGGCAGACAGCACCAGACATGCTGGTGGCCCATCTCGCAGAGGCCCAGGCTGCCTATGAGGATGTGGGTGGTATCAACCCTGGCGGTCTTGGGGGTGCTTCCTAGAGGAGGTGTGAACTGGGGGCTAGGAGGGTATGAGGGTGGGATGATGGGTTGGTTTCAGGCAGAGGGAAAAGCCTGGGTGTTCAGAGACCTGACAGTACCTGGCTTTGCTCAGAGGAGGAACTTCAAGGATGGAATTTAAACCCCTGGCTTAAAGGGACCCACAGAGGGGTGCTGACCAGGGGCCACTCCTGGCTCCTGTGCCTCTGACCTGTGCCCATCTGTCTATTGCAGGTCTGGACAGAGCCCTGCGGCCGGGCCTCTGCTGGCAGGGACCATGGCAGAGGCTGGGGATGCTGCACTGTCGGTGGCCGAGTGGCTGCGGGCGCTGCATCTGGAACAGTACACTGGGCTCTTCGAGCAACACGGGCTGCTGTGGGCCACGGAGTGCCAAGGCCTCAGTGATGCCCGCCTGATGGACATGGGCATGCTTCTCCCCGGCCACCGCCGCCGCGTCCTGGCTGGACTGCTACGCGCCCACGCGCCCCCAGTCCCGGTGCCCCGCCCTGCCCCACGGCCTGTGCCCATGAAGCGCCATGTCTTCCGCTCATCACCTGCACCCACTTCTCCACCTGAACCTGTGCCCTCAGCTGGAGAGGATGAGGGGCTGCCCACCGCCCCACCCATCCCACCCCGGAGGAGCTGCCTTCCGCCTGCCTGCTTCGCCGCCCCATCTACCGCTGCCCCGCCCACCGCCGCCCCATCCAGGGCCATCCCATGCACTGCCACCTTGTCCACTGCCACCCCAGACCCTGTGCTGCCCCCGCTGCCTGCCAAGCGGCATCTGGTGGAGTCAAGCGTCCCACCCGTACCCCCCCGCACCGGACCGCCCCGCCTGCTGGTGAGGTGAGTGGGTATCACTACTGTGGGATGAACGTGGACAGAGGGTCTTTGAGGCTCAGTGGGGCGTTGGTGGCCTTTGGCTGCTGGATAAGAAAGGAACTTCAGGTGGAGGGACCAGCATGCACAGAGCTCCGAGGAGCCCTGGCCAGGCCTGCTCACCTACAATGAGTGCAGATGAGGCATGGGGCTGGTGGGCCGTGCTGTGCAGGCCAGGCCGGGAGCTGGGAATGTCTTAAGCAGAGTGACTGAATGCCACCTGAGCGCCAAAAGGGAACTGGCTGAGGTTAGTGGGGCGAGGCGGGGGCACATGGCCCGGTGAGCCCCCGCCCCCAGCCTGCACTAATAAGACCAGAGAGGAGCAGGCAAAGGGGAGCCAGGTGTGCACCCCAGGATGCACAGGGCGTGGCTGCCTGGCGGGAGCAGGGAGAGCAGGGTTTCCATCTTGGGTGGCTGGGTGTGCCATGGCACCATCACTAGTCTGGTGGCCCAGGGACAGCAGGGAATGTGGGAGGAAGTCTGAAGTTCAGCTCGTTCAGTGTGAGTCTGTGGGGGATCGGGGAGCGCTCTGGCTTCAGGATGTGATGTGTGGTGATCAGAGAAAACTAGGGATGGCTCACCTTGACAGCAGGATCCATCTGGTCCCTGGCGTTTGCATTCCTATCACACTGTGTCCCTCTGTCATCCCCTTTCCCTGCTTCTATCAAGTGTCACCAAACCGTGGGACATTCTTAAGCCTCATCCTACTTGCCCTCCTCCCTCCTCAGAACTCGCCTTTCTCCCCTCCTTGGCTCCTAGTCTCCTTATTTTCTTGCATTTGCTCCTCCCATTGTGGACGTTCCATTTTAATCTTATTCCCATGCTCACTCTTCCTGCCATGTGTTGGGATGCCCAATCAGGAGCAAGTATCACCAGACAGGGTTAGATATGTGTTTGGGGGTAGGAGAGGTTTTCCAGCACCTGAGCTGAGTTAATCTGGAAGGACTTCATGGAGGAGGAGAGGATGCAGAGGGGCCTGCTGACCTCTGTTGCTGCTGTGAACCCACTAGGATGTTGGCCTTGATGGGGCCCTTCTGCTGGGCGTTCTGCTCTGCTCATGTGACCTTGTTGATTCGTGCAGTGAGCCTTCCAGGGGATTTGTGTCCTGATTTCAAGCAGGGCAACCAAGGCTCAGAGCAGAGAGGGGAACAATTGGATGCCAAGCACATGCTCAGTGAGCCTGTGGGGAAGGGCTGTGCTGCCTCCCACCCAGAGAGGGGCATTGCATGAGGGGGCCTTGGAGGCCATGCCTACACCGTGGTGTGGTGAATTTTGACTGGTGGAAGCACAAACGGGCCAGGCCTTTCCTAAATTCACACCTCTGGGAACAGGCATTGGGGTCCACCCAGAGGCTGGCGCCAAGGGCAGATAGTTTCCTGGTGCAGTTGTGCCCTCTAGTGGCCATCTTTCTGCATGCCGAGTAATTTCCGTTTCCTTTAACCCCAAAATGGGATGCAGAGAGGGAGAGACTTTCTGTCTGTTTCTGAGGGCTGTGAGTAGGTGGGCAAGGCAGAAGGCCGGGCCCTGTCCTTAGGGAGCTTGCAAAGGCCAAGGTCAAGCCCCTGTTGGGGAGTGGATGCCTGGGTTCCTGTTTAGGAAGCAGGTCACATTGTCTGACAGAGCCAGCATGCGACTGTGATGACAAGCTGTCCCCATGGTCTTGTTTCCCTCTCAGATGGCCCCTATGGCCCTCACAGCCTTCTGTGTCCCATCCCCCCCCTCCCCCGCCACCCAGCGCTGACACTTGAGTTCAGGAGACTTGCTGGGTAGGGCTAGAGTCCACTCCACACCTTGCATCCCAAGGTACCAGCTCTCGCCCTCAGAGCACGAGTCTGAACTTAGCCTCTTCACCAAGTCTTGGGGATCCCAGGTCCTCTTGGTCAGGAATCTGGCTCCTTGTAGCTGAAGTACCCCAGATCCATTCTGTGTGGAGAGAATTTGTAGAAAAAGATTCCCTGCAATTTGGTGGGGATTGTCTGCCAAGTCCACCTGTGGGGGCAGGGCGGAGGTCAAGATGGAGCTTGGCTGTCTGCATGTCCCCTCCCAGCCCCTCTGCAGCCCTTCCGGGCACAGTGAAGGACTTCTGTCCCCTTGCAGGGGTCTCATCACAGTGTCTCCTACCCCTAGTGACAGAAGACTCTCCCAACCTGAGGGCCATTTGTACAATTTCATGGCTCCAGGCCCGTCAGCAGGCACCCTAGTGAAATTTGGGGATCATCGTGTGTGCATGTGTGTATTCTCAGGGTCTCGGCTCAGTGTGGGCATGCCTGGACCAGTTCGTGTGAACCCATGTGTGTGGGTATGTGTGTTTGTGCAAGCCATTGAGGTGGTGGCCTGGCTGTGCGTTTACATGTTCACATGTGTTCTGAGGGTGACGGTGTGTGCAGTTTCAGTGATGCCACGATTTGGGGTGTGGTGAGTTCGAGGCCTGTGTGCACACATGCACGTGCTCATGTGAGGCCATTGGTAGCCTGTGCTGTTGAGGCAGTGAATGGCAGGGGTTATTTGTGTGCTGCCCAGCATGGGCCGGTGTGTGCACATTGTATACGAGTGTTGCCAAGGCAAGCCCACTAGGATGCTGGCCCTGCTGCAGCTGGGCACTTCATTGATTCTGTTCTCTATGGCTTCCAGTGCCGGCGCCCAATGGCATGGGTGAATAGTGAAGGCCGACGTGTGCATGTGCCTGCCAGGGGCTGAGCATGGGCCGCACATAGGTACATGCATATGCTACTCAGCACATGCTGGGCTGGGGATTCGAGGGCCCTGTACTCAGCACCCCCAACCCTACTACCCAACTATGTCATGCCAGATGTCAGGAGAGGCAAGTAGGAAGAATGAGGCTGGGATAGGAACCTTGGCCACAGACCAAGGTGTAAACAGATCAGAAAACAGGCAAGGGTAGGGTTCCTTCCTCCCTGCCTTGGCAAGATCCAACACTCAGCACCAGGCCCTCCATTCAGTCTGGCCTGAGAGAACCTTGCTTCACCCAAGTCTACATCCTCTGCATTATTAAGCCTGTTGTAGGGAACTTGCTGAGGAGTCCAGAGATGCTGAGAAACTGTCCCAACATCACCCAGCCCAGCAGAAGGGAAACGAGTTCAGGCCCGCATCCTGACTTGGGCCTGGTCCACTCAGCGCCAAGTAGCAGAGACATGAACCTCCTGAGCCTGATCTCCCTGAAAGAGGCAGAAGGTCATGTCTGATCAGGGTTCCAGGCTCGCTCTGCAGAGCCCCTCTCAGTCCACTCTAGGTCTCAGCTTCCTTCTGATACCTGGGTACCTGAGATTCCTTGGGGAAAGAGCACATTTGCCCAGAGGAGGAAGCTGCCAGCTAGTCTGTCACACTGCAAGGCCTCCCTCCTGTGCCCTTGACTGCCTTGCATCTCAGCCAATCCCTGGTCTTCTTGAAGTCTCATCACTTGTTGCTGGGACAGAGCTTGTTTCCTTCAAAGAACCTCTTTCCCAGCCTCTGGTCTTCTGGTAGAGAGGGGAGGGGGACAGGCCCCCCCGCAAGAGGCAGCCAGGGCCAGGACTTCTTGGATGTCTGCCCCATAAGACCTCATGAGACAAACAGACACTGCTGGTCGTCCCATCCAGGTTTGGGGGAGTGAGGGTGCAGCCTGAGGGTGGAAGGAAGTGTCTGCCCCGGGGGATTCTGGGTGACGTTTCTCTTTCTCAGGCAGTGTTTTCAGGAAGTGTGTGTGTTGGCTGGGCTGTGAGAGGTGGGGCAGAGAGCAGGAAGCTGGAGAGAGCTGGATGCAGACGCAGACGCAGACACACACATACACACTCACTCGCACTCCCAGACAGTTTTACAGTTGCACATAGAAACACACACACTCAGAGACGTGATTCACGAATGCTGGGAGACACAAGCTCCCGGGCTCACAGCCATTCCTGGGCCCGGACACCTCCGAGAGAGCCTGGCCTGGGACTCACCTGGGAGCAAGAGCGTGGCTGGTGGTGAGACCAACCCAGGTTGGACGCAGGCTTACATGCAGACCGTGGGCCCCGGAGCCAGCGGGCAGCTGAGGGTGAGCAGGGGCCACCTGGCAGGAGGGAGGGAGGTGTCCCTGCCTGCCTATCCCCCCGGGCCAGGTCTCCTCTGGTGCTGTCCTGCCCCTTCCTTGCTTGCTCTCCAAATTCTGTCTCCTCTTACTTTCTGTTTGTTTACCCCTGCCTTTCCTTTCCCCCTCCTTCCTCCTGCCTCCTCCGCTGGGCTTTGCAGGTCTCTGTCTCCCCTTATGTGTCTCTCCTGGGCCCACAGTGCCTACTTTTGGGCCTTCCCAGACTCTATCCTACTGATGCGTGTAGGGTCTCTGCCCTTTGGGGACCTGGTGCTTATCTCTTCAGTCCGGCCTCTGCCCCTAACTCCCCACAGCCCCCTGGGGTTCCCTCAGGAGGCTCGGGTTGGCCTGTCTCACTGTCGGGTGCAGGCTGCTGTGGCTCTGGACTCTCCCACTCCCAGTCCAGGGTGCAGGGAGACGCGGGGGCCTATACTGAGGTGGTGATTCCTGCCTCCTCCCAGGGCAGGTAGTGGGTGAGTGCCGGGATGTGGGGGCTGGCTTCCTCCCAGTGCTGTGGATCCCTAGTGAACTCGACAGCCCTGGGCTTGGGCCAGTGGGACACAGAGAGGCCTCTTCCTGGTCTGGGCCCTCCCTGGCCCTGCCTGTGCCCCTGGCTCATCTTTCGGCAGGGCTCAGGGGACACCATACCTGCCCCTCCTGTGGCTGGCCACTTGGGCTGGGAGAGAGCTGGGTCCAGTGTGAGCTCCCCAAAAGCTGATCTTTCCCCTCCTCTGCCTTTGGGAGCCAGCACAGGGCCAGGCTCCAGAGCTGTCATGGGAGACCCAGGCCTCTATCACCTCCTGCCCACTGCAGCAGGAGGCCCATTGTGGGCCTGGTGGTGAATATGCCGTGAAGGGTCCAACAGGCCATGTGAACTTAGTGGAGGGAGCAGTTGGGTAGT